TTATTTTTTCGCAACAATTTTCTCAATACATCATTTTGCACAAGAAAAATTATGTGGTATAACGTAAATTTTTTTCTCCATACACGATTGAATATGTTTTTTTTTTTACATTTTATTTACAATAATTTTTTTATAATATAATTTTAAAAATTTAAATATATAAGATATGGTTGATAGTTAATAACGTGAGAATTAGGAGAAAGAGTACGGTGTGCCAAATTTAAAGTAAGAGAGAATTATTGCAGTGGATGTGACATTGCACTCAAATGACATGTGACAAAATTTGTATAGTATTTTTGAATAGAATTTTTTCTGTTGCCAAATCAGTTCTCAAACCGGTTAAGTTATTTAAAAGTAAAAGAAGAGATTACATTATTTAAAGGATAAAAAATTACTTATAAGTAAAAAAATAATTTCAAGTTATTTAAAAGTAAAAGAAGAGATTACATTATTTAAAGGATAAAAAATTACTTATAAGTAAAAAAATAATTTCAAGTTATTTAAAAGTAATAAAAAATTATAATTGTAAAAGTTACTTATAGGTAAAAAAATATTAACTTCAACATTTTTAAGTAAATATTTAGATATATTTAATTTTTTAAATTAAATATTAATAAAAAATATACTACAACTAAAAGTAAAAAAAAAAAATGCATAAACCTCCGTGCACGGAGGTTTGCTAAATGTTCGATTTTTTTTTTAAACTTATATTTTTGTGTTCATATTCAGGCTCATTATGAGATATCAAACCTAATCGAAATATTACATTTTTAATATCATTTTGAAATACTCGCGACATAGTATTGCATGTCGTTAACGGTGCATGAAACGACTAATCGTAGCAATTGTTACGAGACGTCAATATAGACATTTTCAACTATATTTCGAAATTTTTAATAATAAACTAACTTTAAAAATTCATTGGCGATTGTACAATAGTCGAATCGATAAATATTTTACATTCCCTCGAAACTCATTTCAAGAACTATATCATAGACATATCGAACGATCTAAATGAATATCGAAAATAGTTAAACGGATATTAAACGTATGTGTTAGAAAATGCATATAAGTCGTTTTTCTTAAATAAAAAAATTAATAATTTTATTACTATTTATTATTTTTTCGCAACAATTTTCTCAATACATCATTTTGCTCAAGAAAAATTATGTGGTATGACGTAAATTTTTTTCTACATACACAGAGTGAACAGTAAATGAACAGTAAACCCTCATTCTCTCTTTTATGGTAGTATAGATATGTAATCAAGTGCATACATATTATGGATCCCTGCCAACTCTTGTGACCATATTTTCTACAATTTTGTGGGCCTGATTAATGGGTTCTTATTTTTGGAAACTATTCCATGCAGACAAAATAATGGTAATTGAATTTCAAACTAAAGTTGTGCATTTCATCATCTTAGATTGTAACATAGTTTCATTTTTTTCTATACTTATTCTCTGCACTGTATACCGTTTACAAGATTTAGTAAAAGCCTAAAAAAGAGACTGATGCTCATGGCTATGGGTGGCAAATGGACCGAGTGGCTCGTTGGCTTGCGAAAACGGAGCTCGTGGGCGGCTCGGGCTCATAAAAACACGAGCTCGAGCGCGAGCCAAGTAGGCCGGTTCGGTGTGGGAGGAAACGAATCGTCTATAACACCGCAACGTCAATTTCAAAATCAATTTGAAGGTCTAAATGACGTACCCCTACCTGAAAATATTTCAGATTTGGATCTTCATCATCATGTAAGTGGCAGTCCAAATTATCCAATTAATTTAGATGATATTGACGTTCCGGAAGTGGAACACGATCATGAAGAAGAGGCTGAATTAAACATTCCTGATGCGAGGAGAAAGCGAAAAGGGAAAAAACAAGCAAAATGTTTGGATCACTTTAAATTGATTTCAACGAGAAAAATCGTCAATAGAGTTCAAGAATTCAAAGCAGTATGTAAATACTGCCAACAAAAATTGGCATGGCAAAGAGGAATTGGTACTACCCACCTCAACCGTCATTACAAAGTATGTGCGGCCAAACACGAATTTATTCCAGGCTGTCAAACACAATTGCAATTTGACAGTTCAGACGCCGATAGTTCTACTGCACCCCTATCCACATGGGTGTATTCGGAGGAGAAAGCTCGAACCGGAATGGTGAAACTTGTTGCTGGTGCTGAGTTTCCTTTGGCATTAATTGACAACCAACACTACGTCTCGTATGTGAAAAAATATCTACAGCCAAGGTATGTTGGAGTAAGTCGAAACACTCTTCGTTCCAATACAATACAATATTTTACTTCAACAAAACAACAATTAATTATGGATTTGCAAAAATATGGGGGTGTCATATCTTTAACTTCAAATATATGGGAAGAGATTAATAAAATAATATATATAGCTGCAACTACACATTATATAGACCCACTTTGGTGTGTGCATAAAAAAATTATTACTTTTAGAATTATTAAGTTTCCTCACAACGCTAATAATATATTTAATTCTATTATTAGTATTGTTAGAGAATATTATTGTGAAGGTAAAATTCGTTCATTTACTTTCGATAATGCTAGTGTTAATAAAGTAGTTGCTGAAAAATTGCTTAGGGTACTACAACCTGATTTTGATGGGTATTTGTTTCATATTCATTGTGTATGTCATATTTTGAATTTAATTGTCCAAAATGGTTTAAAATATATAAAGGATAAACTTCAAAATATTAGGAACGCACTAATATATATCACAATTTCTCCAAGTAGAAAACAAGCATTTGAGTATTATTGTGCCGAAATAGGAATGCAAAATGCTAAAATATTTGTTAGCAATGTAGGTCATAGGTGAAACTTTACTTACTTGTTATTAAAGTCATGTGAAGGTTTTGAACATTTAATAACTAACTTTTATAACAATAGACATGTTAGAAGTGATGACGAGGGTATGTTGACTAAACGTGATTGGCATTTAGCTTTGAAAGTTAAAAATTTTTTGACATCTTTTTATAAAACCACTAAAATTTTATCGGGCGTTTACTATCCCATTAGCTGTATGGTGTTTGAACGTCTTTATATAATTGCAAGAACATTTCATAAATACAGGAATGACCCTAATTTTAGTGAAATTATAATTGTTATGGAATTAAAATTTAGAAAATATTGAGAAGATTTGCCTATGTTATTTCCTTTAACATGCGTGATGGTCCCCGATATGATTTATCGGGAACTAACTATATAATTGATCAAATTTCAAACGCCTTAACATTTGATACACCTATCACATATAGAAATTTAGAGTAAACATTATGTGAAATGTATGAATTATATGTGAACCGAATGGGTACTAATATTAGTCGGGTACCATTTGCACCTACTCCTTCCACTGAAATTGAAGAAGAAGATGCAGAAATATTTAATTTATTTCAAGGCATTAATTCATATAGATTTGATTCATCTACAATGTGTTCATCTACTACCACTGCCACTGCCACTGCCATGTCATTACCATGTGTATCTCATTCTCATCATACATTTATGGGCTCAAACCATAATGCATTGTCTGCTGAGTTAATTGATTATTTCAACCAGAATATGCCAACAGATAAAACAATTAAAAAAAGTTCAGACGAAGTAATTAAATTCTAGCGAAGGTATGAACGACGTTGGCCAGTTATATCTGCAATTGCAAAAGATCTGCTAACACCTCTGATTAGCACTATTGCTTTGAAGTCTGCTTTTGGTGCAGGTAAAAGAGTTTTGAGCGAGGTTAGGAGCCGACTGAAAGAAGATATTTTAGAAGCGTTAATGTGCGTTAAGGATTGGCAGGACGCTCATTTTCGACTACAAGATAAATATGCTGAAATTGCATGTCGTCAATTAAGTGATATTTGATTTAATTATATTGATGAAACCTTTCTTTTCTTATCGTTACTTCTAATTTTCTTTAAAAAATTGTACACGCTACAAAAAAATTGTTCATGTATAATTTTTAACTCCACCTACTAAAAATTTAAGTGGCCGGTCCCAAATCCGGATAAAGGAGGAGGGTTTATATTTTATTTATTTTAAAAATAAAAATAAAAAAAATAAAGCTTTCATTTTTATATTTTCTATCTCTTTTAGTTTAAAAAAAAATTACTTTTTTATTTTTTGAATTACCTATTTGTTCCTCAAAAATAAATAAAAATGAAAAATGGGGGCCGGGCTTGGCTTGGTCCACGAGCTGCGAGTTCGTGCTTTCATGGGCCGAGCCGGCTCTGCTTGGCCCATTGACAACCCTACTCATGGCAGGAAACTGCTTGTTTTGCCAACACGAAGAAGAAGTGCTACCCTGCAAAGTGCCAAGTTCTACCATTGGAAATTCTTGAAACTGTCTAAAGCTAAAACTATTCGTACTGACAAATTTATCTACACATTGATGTCAAATTATGTTTATCGTATTAAACTTCAAGACATCACAGTTTTTACAAATGGGTATTGGTCAAAACTTGAATACAAGATGTTTGGTTAATCTAATATTAAGTTTAATCTAATAGAGAGGAGATTAATATGTACCTCAAACGTATGGGTAGCTGTTGAAGCTCGAATTCTAACATTTTCTGTTCAAATACTTTGTTGAATCACTTTATTTAAAACTTTTGTTCTTCATTTTATATGGACGCAAATGCCATAATGTTTATTTTGTTAATTTTGTCCAATTTTCGGTCTTACCAATTTCGGATTTCATTTTCTCTCAATAGAGATTAACATGGAGAGAATTAAAGTAGGACAACCCACAAGTTGTTGTGTATTCATAATTATAATATTAGTACTTTAATTAAGAGACGTTTTGGGTCTTGATATTTTTGGTTATGTAGGCCCCGTTTGTTAAAATTTGTGAATTTAGGTTCCATGTCGTCGAAACTGTTAATGTGGGTGTTAAAAACGAAAGCAACGAAGAGAAATGTTAAGCAATTTGATAGTTTTGCCTTCTAACTTTAAATCATGTCAAAGTTGCATGCCACTTTATCATTCACATCGACTACTTTGGTCATCTGGGACCCAAATTCACAAATTTAAGTTGACAACCCAAATCCTCATTTTGTAAGGTTATAGAATTATAACCACTCCTTGTGAAATGTTAGAAATTTATGGGAGCAATCTCCATTGCTTTATTTGTAGAACCATCACGGGATGCAAAACTTGGTTCAGTTTTGGCTTTTTGTTTTCCTGTTTATGCTCGACCAACTACACAAAGGTACAAATGGAGATAAGCTGCTTGTGGGTTCTGTCGCTTGCGATTAGAGTGTCAAACCAGCACGACTCAGTTTTGAGGTGACTCTACCCGTCCCTAGTGTCCACTTTGGCACCACTACTGCCTCCCAACAACTGCTGGAAATCAATTTCATTACATAAACCAAGCACTGAAAGCTGAATTCATGAAACATATTACTTGTACAATAGAAATACAAACTTCTAGGAAATTGTAAAATACAACAAGCTGTTGAATTCAACAGAATGACTCCCGTTTAGGAAGCTCAATCTTTTTTTACTTGTCATCTTGCAACATCGGAGGGTAGAGATTGTTGCATCAATCGACAGAATAGCGATCAGTGTCAGCACTCCCCCGAGCCCTCCCCCTTGAAACTGGGCTTGGGTTTCTATGATAGGGTAAATCCTCAACTGAAGGCCCCACTCCAGTATAAGTACGCGACAAATAATTGCATGGTTTCTGCTTGGCCTTTATCGACTGTGTTAGACTCATATAGTTAGGTTTGCCACCGTGCCCCTCGGCTAGAATATCTCCTGACCCTTGAATCTCAGAAGTGGTTGTGGATGAATTCGATGACATGCTCTCATAGTACGAAAATGCAGAACATGGTTCAGATGACGAGCGAGTAATTTGACAAGTTTTCAGAAACTTTGAGGATATTTTGGTGGAATCACGATCATATGAATTAGAAAAGGATCCAAAGGTCTGACATTTTTCATCCGACATGGTATCCCATGGCTTGGTTTGTATCCAATTCCACCGTTGTGACCAGTTGAGTCCTGAATTGTTCTTGTCCACCTTATTTGGAGTAACCTTCTTGCTCGATCTTGAATACAAGATCGGGCTTCTTCGGGATTGCTGGAGTAAGACATCACATCGTATACAAATGAGTTTGAAGACAAATTTGAAAGAATAAATCTTCACGAATTTAATTAAACCTGTTTAGAAAGGGCATGAGCATATGTATTAGCCCTTTCCCTCTTGATAGCCCCTTCTTGTTTCATTAGTAATTTCGACTTCACTTCTTCAACCGTTGAGGAACTGTCACACCATCCATTCTGTCATTTACAGATAAAAAAAAAAAAAAAATCTTATTTCACTTATTGCCCAATTTGATAGCTGGATCATGTAACATATAGAGAAGATATTTAGATGTACCATAAGTTGATTCAAGATCTCACAATCAACTTTTGGCCGAAAAGAAGTGATCTTTCTCGATAAAGTCCATTGATTAGGTTAAGATTGAAAAACTTATGTTGGTGACTCGGCCTTAAACACAACCACAGACATACCTTCTAAGGGATTAAAAATAACTTAACACATAAGATTTCCGAAACCATGAATGAAGGTCAGCTCGTAAACACATAGAATCAGATTGGCCACGAGGTTCCCGTCTTCAAGAAACATAATCATTATCTAATTGAAAAGGTGCTCCCTGAGAAGCCAACACCTCCCCCAACAACCACTATGAAGAAGACAAATGGCACCACTAATGTTAGCACCATATGCTCTACCAATCAGATAAGAGTAATGATTGCCTTGTAACAGTTCATCATGAGCTGCGCCACAGTCCGTGTCCTAGGAGAAATGACGATGTGAACAGCCGAATTTAATAGTCAATTGAAACCTTTGAAACAGGACGATGACACACAAATCAAGGTCAGACATTATAGCATGATGACACTAAGGGCAACGGACTCTTGTTGTTATGGCTATAAATAGGGACAATGGTCCCTGCTAGAGGCGAGCTATATCATTCCTTGTAAACACTACAAAAACACTTCTTAATGAAAATTACTCTTTTTTTAACAATGTTTTAGCAATTATAATACTAAATTTATTTTTTAAGTTGATCTATAATTGCCATGTCAATTTTAGTCATCAACAGCTTTGGACTAATCATACCTCAGCTTGCTTTATAGGATCGGTAGTCTGATTCATCCGGACGTGCCCTCGTGCAGATGTCTTAGTGCATTGGGCCCTAACTCGAGTCTGAACTCGAACAAGCGACTGCATGCACCTTAATGTTACAGCGGCTTGTTTTCTAACCAGTCGACCACGAACTATAGCTTGTAGTCTTACCAATGCTTTCAAGGCCCTTAAAGCACGCTTTGCCTTCAAACACCAGAAAACAAATTATCTAAAGAAGTGAGGAAATGAAAAGGGAAAGTAGCTGATTACCAGAAATGACCGAAAATTTGTCTGGATTCGGACCGCGGCCCATTCTCGCCGGACCAGCATGAACTCCTTAGGCGAAGCTTTGGCCAAAGCAGCCACTGCCGCCGCCATTTCACCGTCAAACAAATAAGAAGTGGATTCAGACTCTTCTGTCTCCCGCGAAGTCCCCCTTCCTTTAATACCCTTGGATACACTCCTCCATAATTTCCACTTCCTGCCCTTACTACCCATCTTCTGTTATAATAAAAAATCAAAAATGATCATTGAATAAAATACAGAAATAAGATTCTATACAAACCCTGGAGGTTTTTAGCTTACATTGTCGCTTGATGGGGAAATTTTGGCTCCGATCAGTGATTTGATCCATTTCCCAGGAGAACCCATTTCACCGAAATAATATAAAAGTTATGGAAAACAGCAATTCATGCGAAGAAATGAAGACAATACTGTTGGAGAAGGATTGGGAATTCTTGGATATGGGATTCAATGAATATTAATAGTATTCTCGAATGTTGTTTTTTCTGCAATTTTGAAATTTTGAAAAAAAAAGAAATATAAAGTTGTAACGGATAGGTACGGAACTCGGGTGTTGCTTTGGGTACCATAATTTGCTTTAACCTTCGATCGGACAAAATTTGAGGATTCGGATAAAATAAGTTTTTTTCCCCCTTTTTCTTGATGTTAAGTCGTTGAGATGTTAAAGTGTACCGAACCACGCGCGTATTATGAGTTAAAATCGGGTTCCCGCTCTACTGTTTGAAGCAGCCCACAACTTAAATTTAAAATAAAGTAAAAAAGGAAAAGTCATGCTAGAGATAACATCATGAATTTTCATTTCATTTTACTTTTTTTAACCTCCTAAACTTTAGTATCAAAAAATTAAAAGTTCATATTCAAACGAGAACTAACACAATGAATACGTATGTGAATATTTGAAAACTTAAAATAAGTCTAAATAACTTCAAGAATTTATAATTCAATGAGATGTAACTGAGATTTTCAAGATATTAACGAATGATCTTGTCTTAAAGGCACGAGAGCTAAGTTCAATAGTGTCACATTTTAGTCGTTATAGGCATGTTACCTCTTGTCCTAGACGGTTAAAAAAGTATTTGACTCTTAGTTTCCTTTACAAAAATGTCACTTCCGTGACGCCATGAAACTTATGTTTCGAATGTTATTCAAATAATTCCTTTGACCATTATAAAAGTTGATTAATATATTATAATACAAACAATTTGAAGAACTTTGTGGAATAAAATATGCAACTTTATTGCCTCATAGTATGTCAAATAAATTCAATAAACTAATGAAACATAAATTCATCAATTTTGAAAAATAAAATTCTGATTTGCAATATAATTTTAAACTAAATACTAAATATTGAAAGAAAATAAAATTATTGTTCTAGTGACACGGACTCTATTAGCGATCTCAACCTCTAACTCGATCAATCAAGCATTTAAAAAATATTTAAAATAAGGAATGAGCATACGAATACACTTAGTATAGATCTCATGCTAGTATTATCATAATTTAATGTGAAAAGCAAGTAAATTACACACATAACATAATTTTTTAGTTAGATAGAACTATGATCGTCTCACTCTCACTTAGGTCTACCAATTCTCAATCTTCAATTAGGATATTTAGTCCTATGATTGGTCTCTGTGTATGATCTATATAATAACACCATATGGTATTATCTACACGATCCTTCTTTAATTTGGATCACGTAATAGCACATGAAATATTTAACTTAAAACATTAAAAAGAAAAAACACAAATTACTTGGCATTTAGAGAAATCCATACCTATTCATTGAATATGTTGTATGCTTGAATTACATAGGACTGAAAATTCTGGTGAATTGATCTCAGACATGTCAGAAAAGCTTTTCTTTCTTTTCTTTTTCCCCTTTCTCTCTCGCGGTGTTTTCTTCTTCTTTTTTCAGAAGAGTCGAGAATCCCGAACTGAGAAGCTAACCTAAGAATATATAAGGGTGCTCAGTTTGGCTGCAAATCATCATTGCCAGTTGTTGAAAAATTACACCAATATTGTACATGTTATATTCACAAAAATATACCGTTTATGTTTACGAAATCGAATCGTATTTTCGACTTACCGAAATGGAATTGAGGAGATGAAACGACAGATTCACTCATTTTCATTATTTATTTCAAACCTATATAAAACCAAAAGAATGTTACTAACTTTTTGAAATCAAATACGAAAAAGAAATTAGAAAGAATCAAGATGAGATGCGAGTGATGCGATTGGCCGAGGTAAGTGTTGGACACTTTGTCCTTAAAATGAATTTGTCCCGCATCAGTGTTAACGATTTTTTGACAATCATCTCTCAAGATCCAACGATCACGTCTAGCCATATGAGCACTCCAAATGGCTTAAAACAACAAACTCAAACGGAGTTCTCTCTCTACCATAACCATGACTTTGATGCAAGTGTTTTATGCAAACTAAAGTATAAGTATGGAATGGAATGATGTGGAACTATCTATTGACTTTCTTGAATTCTTTTTTAAATTATAAAATCCAAACACATGGGACCAATATATAATAGTTGGAAAGATATATCAAAAAACACACTCACACCAAGAGACACATCTTTTCATCTATCTCTTTCTAGCATATTCCACAATATTCTATACAATTTTTTTAACAATTTCAAGTATTAAGCGGCTTACATTTAGCTTAATTTCCCATTCACCAAATTAAGAATTCCACTTAAATGATTGTGTAAAATTGGTCACAATCAATTTTAGATATAAAACTCCAACAATCTCCCACATGGATGAAAATTAATG